TTATGCTCCGTTTTTGTTGGTTTCATAGTGAAGATATTATCAGTAGTTAGTTATTTTCATGACACCCTTTTTATGAAACATCATTAATTCCTTTAGAGTTTCCTTTTAGTTTAGATTGGATATAATGGATGTAGGCCATCCAAACTTTGAAATGAATAAAATAATGTCACCGAAATATATCAATTACAGAATGACTACGAAGATACTATTATGTTCACTATAATGATGAGATGTGTCTTCTTTGTTTATTTTATTTTTTAAAAAAGGACTGTTTCGAAATATTATAATTATGAGATAACTATTTCCATATTTGCTCATAACTCAAACTCAATATTGCTAATAATCTAATGAACACTCTATTTTTACGATAATTGCAATGATTTGATATAAGGAGTCGATAAATTATAATACCCTTAATATCCTGTCAATACCATCCCACGTTTACTAAAATGCCGACATGTTCCCACGTCAATAGTTGAAAAATAACATGAGGCTAAATGAATAAATAAACAAAATCTTAGCTTAAGGCAAATATATCAAATTGTTAGAAAGCTGAGTTTACAGTACATTTAAATCGATGAAATATCTAATGAATAGCAAGAGCATGCATAAAAAGTATAGTGCATCTATAACAAATAGATTTCGTTAAAAGATAGTTCACTGAGTACAAACCACATACAAAGTATTCACAACAACATCATTGCAGCTTTACTTTTAGTATCAACCTTCAAATCCCATCACGTCTTTACGGAGGCACTATCTTTATCTACTTCTAATGAAGCAAAAACTGCATCGGATAAATCGGGATCAGAGAACGATTAATTAGTATCCTATTGAAAAGCAACAACTCTTTCTTTTTATACTCCATTTGGCTTCGGGATATCGGCGTGCCGATAAAATTGCACTCGGAATGAAGTTGTTTTAGCGCTATCTGGATTGTTCTTATGTTTATTGAAATAAGAAACTTTAAAATGTATTAAGTCTTCTAATTTAGCGGTATCGCCAGTACAGCAATATTTTAATAGGATAGGAATAAGGAAAGAGATTTTGAAACATATTTTGCACATTTAATTGCAAAGTCAATGACAGATTGTTTTCCATTCATTATGATGTAAATGTGCTATGCATTTTAATATTAACACAGAATGAAACAATTGCTAAAGACTGGCGGCCAAGTTTTGTTTTTAGTCTAGAAAATATTCTAAAGCATGGGGTATTATTATTTTAACTTTCCTTTTTTTTATACAGTAAAAACCCAAAAAAGTCTCAAAATAAGTAATTTGATTACTTCTGTTATTAAAACTGACACATTAATGTACAGCACATGTGAATAATTAAAATATGCTGATTCAGCAAAAAAAGCCGTAACAGTGCTACCGCTGAAATTGCATATGGTTTCCGAATCGGAACAAGAATCCAATGCTTCCGATTCGAGACAAGAGGCTTGCGACGATTCCGTTCGACATAAAGCCTCTGTAGGTCACGGCGGCGGTAGTACGTAATAACTTTCTTACTCATCTCGCCCACTGAAAGTGAAGGCTGCGGCGGCCTTGAACCGCTCGCACTCGCAGCGGCCGGTGATCGAACTTAAATCGAGTCAAGTGTACGATCACGCGGTACTGATTGTGCCCCTACTATATTTCGTGCCAAATTCGGTAACGGTCCGATCGTTGACGGATTATTTTTGGATGTTGACATTATTGTTGGTTCCGTTGCCTTTAAAGACTTTAACACTCTTTGTGTTAATTCAATTAAGCACGTGAAGAGCATTTCGGATTTATGAGATTTTAATGTAAGGGCATACCTTAATCTTGGAGGGTTGTATACTGTAATACGATTACCTACTATCCATTGAATGTTGAGAAGATTTCTGCAAACTTTTCCAAAAGATCGAATATAAGTATTAGATCTTCAGAAGATCTTATGGCTTAAGAGGTAGGGAATTAAACTGACAAAAAAAGTCTAATTCGTGTTTTTTTTTTAATTTAAATGAAATTAAATACCAATGAATGGATATCGATATGTGAAAAATAGCGCTCAAAACATGAACGCATCGTAAAGTAGGGTATTTGCAATTCCATAATCTCCGCTGGCGACTAAAATGCCAACCATTAGCCACATTGCGAACGACCCATTCAATCAAACGAACAATATATCATTACAGTTCTAGATATGCCCGATAAATATAAAATATGCCACAGCAGAGTTGAGCTTTACTATTGTTTGAAATAACGCAATCAAAGTTAGTGATAGCGATAGTATTTTAATTGTAGTGACATTAAGCGCAAGCGCATGTTGAACCACTACTGAGGACCACTAAACGCGACCACAAGCTGTGGACGAGTATTTCCATACATTTGGCATTGTATCGGCGCAAGCTAATGTATTGGCGTATATAATATCGGCGCACGCGATTACATTTGAGTTCTAGCCCGAATACGAGTGCCAATGGAGTTCGGCTAGACGCCAGTATACGGGTAGATTTCCTTTTGTTTACTTAATACTGTCTTCCAGCTCGTATTCCAGTATAAATATTGTTTCAGGTACCCCAATTCGAGTTATGTCTTTCGTGTACCCGACGCGACGACAAAGCGTTTTGTCGCTTGCATCACGCGCACACTCGGCCACAGTACCACGATGAATTGTTTGTCAATGGTTTTGAATTCGACGACGTTCTCTACTTCTTAGTGATAGTCAACAACAACGAGATCAATAGTGTTTCCATTTCACAAACATCTTCTAGTGGCTTGACTGAGTCACTAGTGGTTACGTTTAGTGACTTAGTGGGCGGTTGCTCTAAGGATTCAAATAATTGTTCAAAAATAAAGTGAATCAAGACAAAAATATTTCATGAATTTACCCTTTAAAAGAACCGATCTTTAATTAAGTCGTTTAATTAAAAAATACTGATAAACTTAACGTAAATGAAACATAATTTATAGTATGCAGTCGGCTTTCTATAAATACAAATGGGTACTTCCTTTACAAGTATCACACAAGTTCCTTACGAGTAACAGTTTTATTCTTGGCAATAAATGAATTAAAAGATAAATGAATTTATTTACTCGTTCATATTCTAACGGATGACAAATGACAAACTGTAACAATATAGGCACGGGCAAGACTACAAATACAGCTATAAAGTGAAATTAATAACAATTAGAGGGCAAATCAGCTTTAATAACAACAATGATCAAGCTTAAAAATGGCAATTATTAATTTAGGCATAACGGTTAGCTGATTTTTTTATACAAAAGTGGAACAGAAATCGTCACAGGAAATTGTTGAAGAATCGAAAGTAGAAGAAGGTTGTCCATGGGCAGCACCATAAATGGTCAGTTATGATCTCGATATACCTAACTATCGGAACGATGCTAATCAAGGCAACGCTTGAGCATGTCATAAATGGAGATATGCCGTGGTTCCTGCTCCACAAGGCTCCGCAGATCTTAGATACTTTGATACAGTGTCACGAACGCACCATATTAGGTCATATGGTTTCATGGTCCCGGCATATTTACTTCACAGTTGACCACATTCCTGATTATGATCGTTATATTAATGTCAAGATAAAAATATAAAATCGCGAGTCTATCATTTATTTCCTTCGAGACAGAGATTAAAATGTCGATCGAATAAATATTATAAATGACTGCAGCAAAAGCAATAATTTAATATATGATAAGCCAAAGAAAAAAGACCGGATTAGATGGCTAAAACTGGATATATGAGTCACTATTGCTATTTTTGGACAACTCCACATTCTGTTGTAGGTAGAAACAGACAAAGTGGAATTAATTGAAGCGCTATTGGACGAATTAAGAGTCGAAATGAAAGAAGTCACAAATAAACAAGACAAAATAGCTGAAATTAACACCGTTTACAGAATAACTAAGAATTCTTAGCGCCATTTCATATAGCAACTTCGGAGTTTGGATTCTAAATATTCATTGAGTTGTACAATTTATGTGGTTTGTGTTCGAAATGTCTACACATCCACTGACTGTCTAAATGTTATGAAAAATGCTAATTCCAAGAATATTGTTGTCAAAATAATGTCAAATAATTCTCAGAGCATGATAGGGATGTACTGCTGATGAACATCATTAATCATTATTATATTTGTGTATTATTGTATTCAATTAAGTTGCTGTGTGTGTTTCATGTATTTATGTTGTGAATTTGCTTTTCTCCCTTTGTATCGTACCTTCGTAACTGTAATTTCGTCATTGTATGTTAGTCTTCGGTTGGGAGGGGCACTGCCAGAATATCAGCGCTGCTGCGGTTTGTGCAGACTGCTGTAGCAGGTTATGCCGAGGAGTATTCTCTAATGGCCTTTGTTCGACTGTTCTTGTTAATGTATCTAATTTGTTTTCATATTGTTTTTCGTATCTCATATTATATTATTTATCACATTTATCTTTGAATACTTATGTAGGCTAATGATTTCTGTTATTTTTTCTTTCATAAATACTATAAAAAGAATCTTATTCAGAAAAATAGCCTCAATATCATTTGCCTATGGTTAATACTTAACAAGATTATGCTAGGTAAAAAGAAAGAGACCTTTAAGATACGTTGATACGACATTTAAAGATCAAGAATTCACTTGCTGATAAGAGATTACACAGTAAATCTTCTTCAACTTTTTCGTCTTTGTCTACCAAAGTAAAATACTGTAGGCTTCCTTTGATTCTCTTGATTTACCCCAAATTTGGACACGCATACTGTGAAAATAACGTCATCCGCATAACCTTTACAAAAACAAAACCATCATGATTCCTTTGTGGAAAGGAGATAAAAACAAAGTTTATCTCCATAATTGGTGTTATGGCTAAAAGCATTGACATTGCTGGCCATCGCGTAAACAAAGCAGAGGGCTCCATTCATCAAAACTTAACGGCCTATTGAGGTCTTTTTTCTTCCGTATCTATCCCATTTACGGTTATCAAAATCGTAAATCTCGTTGTGTAGTGTGAATTTTTATATGAGTCAGTCACCCCTCGACGCCGTTTGAGGAAGGTGTGCGACCTTGCACCACGAGCGCCCGGCCTCGAATGAGGCGGGCGGCGCGCTCCGACCCTTATATGGCAGAGTTTGCGCATACGCGTTGCTTCCAGGTCACGTGTCTTTCGTAATTGCATCTAAATTTCAACATTTATTAAGGAAACGTTGTACTACACGGACATTCTCGGAGTTAAAATAGATGGTCATTAGTTCACTTGATAGACTTGTGAATAGTCTGAATAGGCCCCTTCTATCACCGTGAAGCGATTTCGTATTCATCAAAGTGATCAAAATATTTTCTATGCATATGTAATTGTATGTTTCGGTTCATAAATCTGAGACGGAAGACGTAAAGACTTATTAATCTATAGTTATTAACACAAGACCACTGTTATGTGTCGTAAAATCTAAGCAACGTATCGCTCGCAGAACATAAACCCTCTTATTAAAAAACGTAGGATATGCTTAGACAAGTTACGCCGTGATTGAGTTCATATCTCTAAAGTGCCATTTGTAATTCAATGAACAGAGACAAAACATGGAATAACTAATCTAAGCTTATTCTGTGTTTATTAATAAGGGGGTAAAAGGGGGGTAAAAATCCGACCTCTATATACTGTACATACTGTCGAGTAACGCAATTTAAGTAAGCTATTTTAAGGAGCTACGTGGTTTACGCGTTCGCCTGCGATCGTTGAAGTTAAGCAACTTTCACAGTGGTCGGTCATTGGATGGGTGACCAAAAATTTATTATCTCTAGCTCCTCCGTGCTTTGGAAGACACGTTAAGCCGTTGGTCCCGGCTGCATCTGCAGTCGTTAGCACCCACCAATCCGTACTGAGCCCACGTGGTGGGTCATGGCCCAATCTCCCTCTTCCATCCGTAGGGAGGCCTGTGCTCCAGCATTGGGGATATTAATGAAGGGATTTTTACGGGGCTTCCAAAAAAAATATTTTTATTTTGAATTTTTGTATCCAAACAAAATTTGACTAATTAAAATTTTCCTCTCAGTTTAGGATTCAGACGGGACTCAAATCCGCCTCATTCGCTATCAAATTAAGATTTAAACATCCTAGCAGTTAAATGCTTAAAAATATAAACATGAAAAGTTTTTCATTTAACATAATTTTTAAACTTTTAATGCATATAGTTAGAAAGTTATTTGGAAAGCAGTCTGTATTATGTACTATGAAAAATAAGTGAAATTGACAAAAGTTTGACATCAGCCGATGGACGTCCACTGCTGGACATAGGTCTCCTCTAGGGATCTCCAAACACAACGATCCTGAGCTTTGTTATTGATTTGATCATGTAATGGAAGTTGACCTCAACACATGTTTGCAAGTTTGATGTCAACTTTCAATTGGATGACACTGTATGAAATAAAACAGGGAGAAAAAAGCAGCCCTTGCTGAGTTTCTTGCCGGTTCTTCTCGTACAAGGTCTCCCGCCGTAGTTTTGAGAACCGATGGCGTAGCTTTTCGACATTCACAAGTGCTTGTAACAGCCTAGACTGAATAAACGATATTGATTTTTTTTTCCGCATCCAGGGTCCCCCTGACTCGCTTGATGTCGTCAGTCCACCTGATAAGGGGTCTACCGACACTGCGTTTCCTGGAGCGAGGTCACCAATGAAGCATACAAAATCTCAATTGTAAAATATACTTAATACATTATAATTATTACTCGGCTACATATTATGCACATGTAATCAGCGGGGTGTAAAAAACATATTATATGGAAAGGTTGTTTCGGTGTACCTTTTAAAGGACATTAATTACGGTTCAGCGACCGAACAATTTCGAATGTTGGCATAAACAGAAAGGACCTTGTCAAAATTGCAGCGAAAATGTACTCGTACCTACTTACAATCGAACATAATAATCTTACGAGCAAGATTACATATATTAGTGATTTTATTAAAAAACTTAAAAAAGTCGGACAAAAAATATCTGCCATTCCCAAACTATGGAAAGATAAAACAAAAGATAATATGGAAAAGCTCGAAATATTTTGTTTAGTAAACCATCCAAGATCGACTCTTGTGAAAGTGGTATAACTAGGGAACGCATTCCTGCAAGATAATTTCAATTCAAGTATTGGCGGGATCCAGCGGGTTGGACTAAAAATTTTGAAATCAAGCGTAATATAGACCTAGTTTTCATAATGTTACTACAATAATAATAAAACTTAAATTGGCAAAATAAAATATAACTATTCAATTCAAAACTTTAATTTTTTCATCTGTAAGGTCCCCGCGAAGTGTAAGACGTGTGAAACACGGTTCCTTGTTATTCCATCAGTCCAGCGGAAAAGTTTCAGACCGTGATTAGTCCCGCAAAATATATTTAAGTGATCCAGATATTTTGGGATCCCGGTATCCTGGTATTCTATTTCCTAGGTATAACTAATTCTAACCACTGCGTCGTCAACCGTCATCAATAACATCCTAGATCCAATAAAATATAAAGTAAAGCTTTCTGAATAGTGATTATGGCGGTACTGGTCATTTTTACATTATACGTAAGTATTATTAATTATGCCACAAGGCCAATATCCTCAAACGAACTCTCAAAATTTTTAGTTTATCAATTTTCTACCTCTTCGTCACTCAAATCTTCATTATTATTGTATTCAGAGTCATTATAAAGCATAAACACATCAGATGTTTTGCAGTTACAACTTTTTATTGCTTCAGATTGGTGTACATATCTGCCAATGACTTGATCTATCACGTAAACCCGAAGTAGCCGAAGCTTTATTGTGGCAAGATTCTATGATGTTTACGAAAAACCGTCAGTATTCGGTTAGTCAGTCATTGTTGGTCGCCAATTCTCAAATAGACCCGCAAATGTTTGTCCAACACCTTAGCTGTTTGTATACAGCGCAGCGGGCTATACATAACACGAGTAGATTTAAAACGCAAATTAAATAAAATGCCTGGAGCTTTAGCAAATTGTAAATAAACACCCTCTTTTTATCTCAGCGTCTCATTGAAACCTGACTAGTCATGTAATAGTGAAAGTGATGATAATCTGTTGAATAAGTATCGAACACAATCAGAAAATATTTATATGTGTATGTTTACGGTTGGAAGAGCGCCCCTGAGGCATCTTGTCCAATTATGCGTGATGGATAGCAGAATCGTATCGAGATCTCGTCTCCTCACAGCATCCGCCCATCCGATCCATATGTCTTCTAATGATAGATCATGTGACGCTGATTTGAAAATTCGCATGCATAATAATGAAGAATTGATCAATATCCAATTTAAACAGAGTCTTAAAACTAATACTGCTATAAAATCGAACGATAATAAGTATTAAGATCGTTATGTAACACCTTCTTCTATTAGAGGAAAAAATTAAATAGACCCAGAGACAGAAAAAAATAAGATATAAATAAATTTGATATAGATATACCTATTAGGAAAAATAATAAATACAATAGTTACGCAGAAAGATATTGAAAAATAAAGTAAACAATCATAATGTTGATTGAATAAAGGCATAAATGAAAATGATAAGAAGCAAATTTCATTAAAATTTATCACCAGATAAAACAACTGTAGAACTGATATAAGTACCTAACTATCAAACAGTCTAGATGTCCATTCAAAGTTTCGAAACCAGATGAGTGCTTGGATGCTTGGATGATTGCTTGAATGAGTAGCTTCGGATATCATTTTTCCATTTAAAACTTTCTGTTCCGGCAACGCAAAAAAGTCAAGCATACCCACCCATGCCAATTACTGACGATTACCATTCAACAATTTATCTCGACACAAATGTTCCTAAATGTTAACAAAAACAAAGATGCAGGCAACACTAACTCAACAAATGATATCTAAAGAAACCCTATTTATTTAACATAACTATATCATTGTCTTCATATCATAGTAATAACAAGCATGGGAAAATCATAAGTTTGGGTTCATCTAAAGTCATTGTCCTATTTTAAGGGGCAGACGTTTGATATCCAAACTATATTTTAAGATAATATTTACAAAAAAATGGTAAAATACAATATTAAATTACGGGCAAAAAATTTAATAAAAATACAAATTTTCAAACGCTTATAGCATAAAAAAAAGGAAAAATACACAACAAGAAATATATATATCTAAATTGTTTTATTTAATAAATATTATTAAAAAAATGTATAAGACAATATAAAAATAAACCAAAATATATCTGCGATGGCCGGGAATCGAACCCGGATCAACTGCTTGGAAGGCAACTATGCTGACCATTACACCACCATCGCAGCTGACCGAAGAGACGAAATAACTGTGTACTATTTAGATTACTGCTTTGTGACGTAATGAGAAATCTAAATTGAATTAATATGGTACACGCGACTAGAAATTGCACTGATTTTTATTATTAGTGTAACAAGAAAATTTAATCGAATCTAATCAATATAGGTGATGACAGAAAATAATATTTTTGAGGGCGCTGCTAGCCATTTGATATTTTTATGGAATAAGTAGACGGTAGATAAACTTATTCATGAACATCATCATCAGCCTATTAATGTCCCCACTGCTGGGGCACAGGCTTTCTCAATGGAGGAATAGGGAGATTGGGCATTGAACCCACCACGCGGGAGTGCGGATTGGCGAGTGCTAACGACTGCAGACGCAGCCGGGACCAACGGCTTAACTTGCCTTCCGAAACACGGAGGAACTCGAGATAGAAGACTTTTGGTCACCCTCCAATAACCGATAGCTCCGATCTGTTATCTGCAGTCTCAATATCATGTTGTTTAATAACCGCCGATAAACTGTAACCTTTTGACGTGACAACGTCTTAAATTAGGTTGCGGCTGGGAGTCACTTATGAAAAAGTGTAACGCTCGGTAACGTTACGATGAGTCTCTCGTGTTAAGTTTAAGTTTACATGTACAATGTTTTAGTAAACAAAATATATTTCTATAGTTAAAATTTGTGCAATTCTTATTTTCATTCAATTCCTTGTTCCTATTGTGCAATTTAATTATATTCATATCAATAAATATTCTACCGAGAAAAAGACGTTGTCACGTAAAATCTTCGCCCGTAAAACCGACTTTACAGGCAACCATTTTTTTTATCATGTCGGAATTACTTGCTGCTATCAAATTCATTATAGGAATG